CGTCGCCCGTCCAGAGGCAACAATGTTACTTCTTGCGTATGCGTACAGTGACTTGCATCGAGTCTCGAAGAAAATACGTTGCCAACGTTCGAGTAGTTTTCGCGAAATTGGGGCGACATCGATCACAAGCGCCAGCTGCGACGAAAACGTGCGCCGCGACAAAAGCTTCCTCTCGTTCTTGCGAGGAATATATAATTCACAAAAATACGAAGAAAGAGAGAAAAGGATGGCGTTTTCAAAGAAAACTTGTATATACAAATAAAACTTCAATGTGATTAGCAAAGTGCTTCGTGCATTCTTGAAAGAGACAAATCGCTGTCTTGCTTACGCGTATAAATTACTGTACTTTTTGAATTGTTCATTATTGATGCCGCATCTTAACCATGTACAGACCGAATATATGTCGACACTGCAGCCATTAATCCGCAACGGAAGGCGATACAGTGGAACCAGGGGGCTTGCTCGCACTACACTCTTAAGCGTGTACCGCCAAAAATTGGCGGTACACGTTAAAATGAAAAGTATACGTAATTACGAGGTACATAAAAATTCACCAAAGTAGAAGGGAAGATAGTATTTCGAAATTAGGAGTCTTATTTTGAGGAGAAACATGCCACAGAAACGTGTCTTGTTGGTGGATGCCCACAATATGGACATAAAACGGAAGATTGATCCACATTATGCAGTACATTCGCAATTTAATTCTTGGCACTGGCGACGAAAAATGCCTCAAATATCTATATTACATAACGCGTCCATAATGTATGTAACATGCACTTCGTGTCTTTAGCCGACGCGATCACGCAAATGTGGCACGACAAAGGAAGACAATAACAAAAGCTATCTCTCGTTGGCACGGAGACAGGTATTTGGAGGTACATATTGTACCCCGTACTACTTTGGAAGGTACGTACGGGAACCACTTGTACCTCCTAAAAAATGTACCGTGAATCTATAGACGGTACCTCGAACGGTACCTCCAATCGTGATCGTCATATATTCATTATTACTTCATACATCTTGCACCTCGTGCTAATATACCGGGAAAAATATCTTCCCTCCTACCTTGGTGGATTTTTATTTTGACGTGTACCTCGAACTTGGCGGTACCACGCGACACAAGATTAAAGCCTATCACACAATGCCAGGCAACAGGCAACAGGAACACGGAATAGAATTTCTGACGCGTTGGATTGGTTGAACGAAAATTTCCGACGAATCCAACGCGTCAAAAATTCTATTCCCCATTCCTATTGCCTGTTGCCTGGTATTGTGTGATAGGCTTAAGAGTGCAGATTAAGAAGTTACGTAAATACGCAAAACGCGCCGTAACTTTCTACTAATCTATGAATCGCTGTTGTCTTCTGGACACCTTCTCAATTAAAGGCCTGCTATGAGAACCCGGTAGAGAGCCCGAGTGTTTTTGTTCCTCTTCCCGTGAGCCCGTGGTGATAATTGGCCTTGCTGCTGTTGTGTAGTTGCATGCCGCGGTATAACATAGAAAGCATGGGAACAATTTCTTCGGTATGCCGCCATAGAACGAGAGAGCTAGCGAGAGACATACATAATCGGTCAAATTTCGACGCAGAGAAATTCGCGTATGGAGGGAAGTCTTTTCGTATAAAGCCGCGTAGCTCAATTAAAAAATGGAGAGAGAATGAAAAGAGCAAAGTTAAGAACACTCCCCATCTAACCGACCTAGTTGTACGAGTTTGTATTAATATACTGTTGTTGCACGGCACGTAATCTCTGGGTCGGATGCTCCAGGAATATCTTGACTTATCTTTTATTAACGTCTGCCCTTTCACCGTTTCTTTCCTTTACGAACTCCGCGAACGCTTTAGCGAAAGTCTCTTATGTAATTACGTAACTAACGCACTATAATAATGTCCTTAGACGGGCAAAAATCTTGGAATCACTGACGTAAAATTGCATTTTGCATGACGCTCATTAAATATAAATAACGTAAGTCTTTAAATATATATAAGTAGGAATGTAACAGTTGACGACGTTATCTACAGGCTATTTTGCATTTACGTATTTGCAGGGTTGGGAAGTAACTCGTTACTTGTAACGAAGTTACAGTTACAGTTACTCTTTTGTGGTAACTCAAACTTAACTTCGTTGCTTTCTTTCCATCTGTAACTGTAACTTAACTCGATTACATTTTTTCGACAACTAGTAACTAATTTAATAGTTACATTATTACCTTATATAAGTATATTTTAAACATCCACAGATTGCGTTAGGCCTTGCATTTGCGCATAAACGCCTTTATCGACGCTTTACAATTCAAATGCAGATTTCATATTTTTATTTCCGCTGCAAGAAAGTAACTGCACAAAGTAACGATTCGTTACTTTTTGAGTAACTGTAACTAGTTACCCTTTTAGCGAAAAGACTGTAACTGTAACTAGATACTTTTATAAAGCAACTTTCCCAACCCTGCTTATTTCGTATGTATAGGTATTATTATTTGAGGACGAGAGGCCGAGATCGAAACGAACGGAAAAGCGATTACGAGCCGAGAACCGAAAAGGACGTAAGAACGCTAAGGGCCTGAGTAGAATGGCTGTCTTGTACTCTTAGGACATTGTTTTATGTTTTAAATCTTTGTCTTAAAGTAACGTACAATAACTGTCTTGTGACTTAAGAATGCACCGGGGAGTTATCGTTATCTTTAAATCCTGAAAATTACTCATCGATTTATTCTCAATTTACTAGAGCGAGAAATAGATCGTATCAGTCGGAGACGTAGTGTCAAGTCCACGTTGTGTTCATTGAATATGACACGAATGTCATTGATACTCCAATTCTGGTGGCGTAAGCACTTAATACATTACGATGTTTGTTAACATGGTGTCGTTCAGCCTAGTGTAATCTTGCGCGCACAAATACGTGCAGGACGCCCGTGCGTTTCGTGAAGCGCACGAGCAAGAGACGCGTCGATGGGGGCGGAGAGATAACAGGTACAATTATACCGCGTCGGTGGCCATCTCGCGCCACCTGTTCGCATTTTTGTTTCTTTTTCAGCCGACGAAACGGTATCTTGCGTAATTAATGACACACGTGCACGGCCCACGCACTGTGGGAGCGAAGTTCAGGGTCGCGTGCTCCACCGTCTTTTTAAACGCGGTTAATTGGCTCGTGTAATCAAAGGTTAATGCAATCATTTTTCGAGTTTTAACAAGGGGGAAAACCGACGACCCTTTTTCTATCCCGCTCCCGAAAGATCTTCACACGCCGCGCCGACATGCGACGACGCGAGTCATCAGCGCCGTGCGATAATTAATAGGACAAAGCTCGTTATCGTTAAAGCAAACGTGACGCTGCGAATTCACAAGTCTCGCCATTTCACACGTCATTTTATGTAATTGCTAGTCCCAGCGTAAATTGGATATTACTGCGATTACACGTTTCGCGGTTCATTCACGAGTCTCCTTAAACTATAAAATGAAGATTTTCCGATGTTACTGTTAAAGTATACTTCAATGTAAGGCACGTTTCAATTCTAAAGGATATCTGTAAATTGCCCAGTTATTTTACATGTTCAAAAGTTCATTAACAGTACATGATTAACCAATGTGGAAAAATTGCTAAACGACGCTACCTGGCAAATCCTAGACAATTGTATAAACAGCATTTAATTGTGTGGACAGACCTTTTTAGGAATTGGAAGACTTGGAATTCGTCACGCAATCTCGGGACACGGAAAAAAGAGCGGCTGAATACTCGATGAATTATTTCACCTACGAAGCTTACCAATTACACGGTTATGGGTCGCCGACGTTACTTATGGGATGATCCGAAAATGTGGGACGGCGAAAGGGAAGCCGCGACTTCGGCAGAAAAACCAACTTACCGTTGCTTGACATGCTTCTGGATAGTACATTCGTAATACAATTGAGTGGTCCCGGGAGACCGCTTCGACAATACGCAGAGATCCTTATAACAAACACGAAAGCCCGTTGGGTTTGGTGGATATCACCGTTATTCGCTCACGAAAGCCACTCGCGCTTGTATGTAGAAAATGTCAAACGTGTGAAACTAGTTCTCAACAGTTACTCGGACGATTTAAAAAGTTGCGTGACGTTGAAAAGTCTCCGCGGTAACCTAATTTCTTGGATTTGCACTTAAATCAACTTTCAGACTTCGTACCGTTTTGCAGTATCATCTATGCATATGCGCTACCTGATTGCGTGATAAAAAGTTTAATTAATATAAACAGAGTTACTCGTCTTTGTGTGTTGCACTTCAGCTAAAGTTTATCGAACTTTAGCTAAGGCGATTGAAAGAGACAGGTTAAAGCTTTCTTTCTAATGTAGAAATAACGTTGCCCTGCTCAATTTATTATGTGGATCAATTTCGCGTTCACAGAGCACGAAAGAAATCATTGATCTTGTGTGTCATGTTGTCTTCTTGATCGTCACGTGCATGATTAATGGTGGACGTTACGTTAAATACTGAGATCGAATAGAACGGTAATTTCTACGCTCGAACAGTGTCTTCTATCGTACGCGAACAATATATGATAACGTTAAATGCATGAAATAACGGCGAATTGGAGCATTCGTCGACCGAATCGATACAGTCTTATTGGTGACCTCGTGCTTTGTGCGCTACTCCAAAAGGAAAAAGCGGGTCGTCTGTTGCGATTCTTAAAAAAGTCACTCGATGACCAGTTAAATGCCACAACGATTTTACGTTATCAGCAAGTACAGCCAATAAAAACTATTCGAGCTCGAGCTAAATAAATATCTTGTCAACTTCAACCTTAATTTTCATTCAAATATAAAAGAAAGTTTCTGTGGTTTTAACAAAAATATACTCAGTTTCAGATGAACCTTACACGCGTTTGTTGAACTTTGAATAATTTCCTAAACCCTCGGCATTTCACAAACTCTAGTAAACGGGGATCTGCGCCGCGATTTTATGTTAAACTGTATAATAAAACCGACGAAACTTTATCGACGCAAAAATAACGTGCGAATCGATCGCAGGACGGCCGAGTATGGGTGCCGCATCCGGAGAAGGTGTGGGAAGGCGCCGTGCTCCTGGAGAACTACAGGCAGAATCAGCGAAAGCTGAAAGTGCGCACGGAGGAGTCGAAGCAGACGAGGGAACTGGAGATCAAGTCGGACAACGATCTTCCGCCACTCCGAAACCCCGACATTCTGATAGGAGAAAACAATCTCACGTCGCTGTCGTTTCTTCACGAGCCCGCCGTCCTCTACAATCTCCAGATTCGCTTCCAACGGCATTCCATTTACACCTACTGCGGCATCGTCCTGGTAGCCTTCAACCCGTACAACGAATTACCCATCTACGGCAATGACACGATATGGGCCTATAGGGGCCAGGCGATGGGCGACCTGGAACCCCACATATTCGCCGTGGCCGAGGAAGCCTATACCAAGTTGGAGAGGTGAGTAATCACCCGTCAACATTTATCTACAGATTGTGTCATTGATGCACGTTTATCGACGTTAATTAAAAAGCAAGTCAGGTGGTCTTTCCGTTGGATAAGAAGTTACAATACTAATTATCAGTGACTGTAAGCAATATGATTTAACGGATTTAATACGTGTAGAGAGAGAAAGAGAGAGAGAGCCGTGACTGAGTTGAGCCACGGTTGTACGGCATCTAACTCAATGGTCTCTTCCTTTTAACGCGTCAGCAAATGTAAGATAATAAATATAAGCTAAGCACAAAGGCACAGATAGACAAAAGTACTGCAGCAAGAATGCTTCTAGTGGTTTTAAGATAAACACGTGCAAAGCTGCGACGATACCAAACGTATCGTGTTCCAAGCGAACGATTGCAGTTCTTTAGATTGATTTCTCTGAAAGAAAACACCGATGCCATACTATCTATAAACTTTCTACCAATAAACTTGTCGCAAAATAGTTCTGAATGATTAACAATTTCATACACTGTACGAGCAAAGAAAAGATACAACTAAGCAATTAAGATGATATTTAAATTACATTTATATGAAATGTATTTTATATTATTAGGTATACAACGTTAAATTCAATATATTTAAGTCTCAACTTTAACGTAATCTTATTGAATTCGAGTAGAATGACACTTTTATACAACCTTTAAATTTAATTTAGGGAGAATCATGACCAGTCGATTATCGTTTCCGGCGAATCGGGGGCCGGCAAAACGGTCTCCGCAAAGTACACCATGCGGTATTTCGCGACCGTCGGCGGATCGGCAACGGAGACGCAGATCGAGAAGAAGGTTCTCGCCTCGTCGCCTATCATGGAGGCGATCGGTAATGCGAAGACTACCAGGAACGACAACTCCTCTAGATTCGGAAAGTTTATCGAGATCCAGTTCAACAAGAACTATCACATCACCGGCGCGAGCATGAGGACCTACCTGCTAGAGAAGTCGCGGGTGGTGTTCCAAGCGAACGAGGAGCGAAACTATCATATCTTCTATCAGATGTGCTCGGCGGCGAAGCGTCTTCCACAGCTGCACCTGTCTGACCAGGGTCAGTTCCACTATCTTAATCAGGGCAACAACCCCAGGATCGACGGCGTGGACGATCTCGTGTACTTCGATGAGACGATAAGTGCACTGACGATGCTCGGCTTTACGTCCAAACAGCAGGACGACATGCTGCGCATACTGGCGGCCATTCTACATCTGGGTAACGTAGATATAAGCAGTTGCGTGATCAAGAACGCGAAGGACGGCGAAGTGGACACCGAGTCCAGCCACATTTCACCGTCGGACCGGCACCTACTTGTCCTCTCCGAGCTGCTGGGCGTCGAAGTGAGCGCGTTGCGCAAGTGGCTGTGCCATCGGAAGATCGTTTCGACACGAGAGGTCTTTCTGAAGCCTATGACCGTGGAGCAGGCGATCGGCGCGCGGGACGCCCTGGCCAAGCACATCTATGCCGAGCTCTTCAACTGGATCGTGACTAACATCAACAGCTCCCTGCAGTCACCCTATCAGGCGCACTGTTTCATCGGCGTGCTGGACATTTACGGCTTCGAAACGTTTGAGATAAACTCGTTCGAACAGTTCTGCATCAACTATGCGAACGAGAAGCTCCAGCAGCAGTTCAATCAGCACGTCTTCAAGCTGGAGCAGGAGGAATATCTGAAAGAGGACATCGAATGGACCTTCATTGACTTTTACGACAATCAGCCGTGCATCGATCTGATTGAGACCAAACTTGGCATTCTGGATCTCCTCGACGAGGAGTGCCGCATGCCGAAGGGTTCGGATGCCTCCTGGGCGGAGAAGTTGTACACCAAGTGCATCAAGTCTAAGCACTTTGAGAAACCGCGATTCGGCACTTCGGCCTTTCTTATCCATCACTTCGCCGATCTCGTGCAATACGAAACCGTGGGCTTCCTGGAGAAGAATCGCGATACCGTAATCGAAGAACAAGTGGACGTGCTAAGGAGCGGCAAGAACAAACTGCTGAGGAGGCTGTTCTCTGAAGAGGACCCCAAGCTGACAGTGCCGCATACAAGAGTGAAAGTGTCCGCTCAGAAGATCGTGCCGACGAGCGCAGCGAACAAGCAGAATAAAAAGACGGTCGGCTCGCAGTTCCGTGATTCCCTCAATATGCTGATGGCCACGCTGAACGCTACGACGCCG